GGACAATTGACTTTGAAGTGCCCTGGTTGTCTGCAGTTGTAGCAGAGAAGCTCTCCACTACTTTCTGATGGTTTGGACTTCTGGTGTGGCTTTCTGCTAGAGTGTGGACTTCTGCTATCCTTTGGCTTCAAGAATTTCCTGAACTTCCTAGCAAAAGCCGCCATATACTCGTCAGTTAAAAGAATAGAAGGGTCAAAATTATTTACCTGAGAGGTGCTGGCAGTGAGGGCAGTAGTTGTTCTGTCCTCAACTTCTTCTTTCTCTTCTTCATTCATCTCAAACTCATAAGACTTGAGATCAGAGATGAGTTTCTCAGTGCTGTAAGTTCTGAGGTCCTTGCTATCTCTCATGGCAGTGACCTTCATCTTCCATGGTGAAGGTAAGCCTCTGAGAACCTTCAGATTGATCTCCTTGGGAGTAAGCTCCTTCCCAAGTTCTGATATCTCAGCAGTGAGGGTGAGCAAGCGTGCATACATCTCAGCTATGCATTCTTTGGGTAGAAGTTTGAAATCTTCAAACTTCTTCATGGCAATAGTAAGTTTGTTGTCCTTTTCTTGCTCATCTCCAGCTCCTATCAGGGTGAGAGTATCCCAGATTTCCTTGGCAGATCTGCACTTCTTGATCCTGGTGAAATACTTGTCATCAATGGCCTTGTAGAGGATATCCTTGGCAATGTTGTCAAGGTTGTACTTTCTCCTTTCTTCATTAGACCATTCATGACGCAGTTTGGTGATCATCTGGGGTTGACCACTACCAGTGATGTATTCAGGGTTGACCTTGGTGAACTCTGTGAAAGGTCCTGCATCAAGAACTTCCCACATTTCGTCATGGAGTGCGCAGAGGTGAGCTTTCATGCGGATTCTCCAGTCATCAAACTTTGTTACTGAGAACATAAGATTCTTTGAAAGAGTGTTATCCATAATATGAGATTAAAGAGGCTGAAACAAGTGGATCTCTTGTTTAGTAAGTAACCTAAAAGATTACAAGAACAAGGAGGCTCTGATACCACTTGTTGGTCCCGTTTGTAATGGGAACAGTCTAGAGGGGGGGGGGGGGTGAATAGACTGTTCAGGAATTTAAACTTTTCTCTAAGTCAAGTCTGACTTATCAGAGATGGTCGAAATCTGGTGACAGAGATGGTCAAGTTCTGATGGCAGAACTAGACCAGGCAGCGGATAAGTTTCTGTCCGGGTAGCCTCTAGAAGAAAGCTAAGGCAAAATGCCTTTCTGATAACTCTGAAGGAAGATCTGCTGGACACAGAGTCCAACCTTAAAAGTTAGTCAGTAGAATCTTAAGTGCGGAAAGTAAGAGCGGAAAGTAAATGACACCGGGGTTTTTATAGTGGTTCAAGGAACAACTTGTTCCCCTAGTCCACTGTTCCACTAAGCTTGCAAAAACGACAGTTTACAACGCCTTAGTCCCTAGAACTTAAGAAGCACTCCTCGTCTTCTTCAAGTCTAGTTACCACCCGAGATGCAGTCCTGCTTCCTGATGGCTGGTCTCGTTTCACTGAGTCTCTTGAAGTATCTCCACTTCACTTACTCCAGCTAATTTGAGACGTCCCTTCTTTTTAAGAAGTGTTTGATATAGAATCAGTTTTCTCCAACGTTGCTTCTTCACAAAAGATGAGTATATGAAGCTCTCGAAGTGTTTGAAGAACTGAGTAACTTTGCCTTTGCTAGTTGGATGAAGGATGGGAATGTTTATCTTCCAACTGTGGCCTTTTCTTGTTAGAAATGGGGTTTTTATCTCAAGAAAGTTGTTCACGCAAATTTATCTTGGCAAAGGTTATGGCAAAAGTTATCTTCTTAGTTCTTCAGAGTGTATCTTATATACTGGGAGCGGTCTTCCCGTTGGAGTGTAGAAGACAACTTCATTAAATGCATGTACTGTTGACTTGACCGTTTAGTCCTTCGACTTGCTATTTTGGGGGCGTAAAGATATTCGCATGGTCAATCATCAGCTTTAAATATCTCTTCGTACGTACATCATTAAATGTGCATTTAATGCGTGTACAGTACCATGCTTCCGTTAAAAGGTTCGTAACCGTTAGGGGATTTCCCGTTAGTTTAACGACCGTTGGAAGGGCTTCCGGAATCTGATGATACTTAGCAGAGTCTCAAGAGGTTCTCTGGTCCAGTCTCTGAAGTCCGTCTCTGGTGCCAACTCTGGTATCTTTCTGATAACCAGTTTCTGATGGCTTCTCTGGTGAGCAACTCTGGGAGCAACTCTGGTAGATGCAAGATGGAACTCTGGCAGGCAGACTAAGCTAAAACTTACAAAAGAAATTCTAATACACAATTTCTAATGGGGTACTTTCAAATTCTAATTAACCTAGCATCATCAAAATCTAAATACATTTATTCCTTACAATAAGAACGAATCTGGACCGTTGGATTGTATTATGTGGAACAGAAATGTGCATTTGATGGAACTGAAATGTGTATTAGATGATATTGAAATGTGCAGAATAAAAATTTAAACTCAATTGTGCGTTAGGTGAAACTAAAATGTGCGGAATAAAATGTACAAAAATAACATCACATTGTACCTTTTATTTTGCACATTTCAGTTTTACCTAGTGCACATTTCAATTTCACCTAATGCACAATTCAGCTTCACATAATGACATTGTATCATACGCTTTGTGTTGCACATTTCAATTTCACCTGATGCACATTTCAGTTTCATCTAATGCACATTGAATTTCACTTAAAGCAAATCTAACAGTCCAGATTCGTTCTCATTTCTCTCCTAAGATCATGTTCTTATTTGAACCAAAACCTATATATATATATATATAGATTTAGGTTCAAGTGAGAATAGCATCTTAGAAGAGAAATGAGAATAAATATAGACCATTAGATCATCTCCTAATTTACTAAATAATGTTATTTTCTTTTTTTAGGTGAGTAAGAAAGCTGCAGAATCCCTAGTATGGTATCCTCCTTCGAGGTGGTGCAGAGCCTATTTTAGTAGGCGATGTCATTCACAGATGGTAGACAATAACATGACATAATCTTTCAATTCATGGATATTAGAAGCCCGACACAAGCCTATCATAAGCATGCTTGAAGAAATTAGAACCAAAGCTATGATAAGGATAAGTGAGAATAAGAAGTTGTGAGATCAGTGGTTCAATAATTGATCACCCAAATCCATGGAGTTTCTGCAGGATAATAAAGAGCTTGCTGTGGGTTGCAGAATTGTATTTAATGGTGATTCAGGTTACGAGATAGGGGAAGGTGATATTAAACACATAGTTTTTTTAAACTAACAACAATGCACATGTAGAGGGTGGGATCTTACAGGAATTCCATGCCCACATGCATTGTGTGCTTTATATCATAGCAAGATTGATCCACTGTCAATGATGGCAGATTGGTATAGCAAGAAAAGGTACTTGGCTGCTTACCATTTTCATATGCAACCTGTTCTCGGAAAGATGTTCATGCAGTGTGACCAATATGAAACTATCGAGCCTCCAAATATTGTTAAGATGGCTGGTAGACCACGACACAAAAGAATTAGAGCTTCAAATGAGCGTAATCCAAATCCAACAAAATTGAGCAGGAAAAAGATTGTACAAACATGCAGCTTATGCACTCTTACAGGTCACAATAGGACCACTTGCCCAAATGGGAGCAACAAAGTAATAACTACTTCTTTATACTTGTTTTAAAAAAACTAATTGTTTATACTTGACTGGCGTTTATTTACCATATTTTGTTTGTTTACATTTTATTTACGTTTAGGTACCACCGCAAGGGAAAACACCAAGAACCTGTAACTTCAGTCCTAAAAAGTCATCATACGACCACTTCTGCACATGCAAATGCATCTCTGGACATACCTAGTTCTTACACACCAGTAGACTCAACGGGATATGATTGCTTTGTGGATGAAATTACTGGCAGAATAGTGCTAAATGTACACGACTATCATAATTATTAAATTTGTATTTTTTATATTTCGTGTGTTATACCTAAATATTTTATTTAGTACCTTTTATTTATTTTGCAGCCTGGTATGGAGTCTGAGACAATTATTGCAGAAGGTGCGTCACTAATGGAGATCAATCCTGATGCTCAGACCAAAATGGCAATACCGTGTGAAAGAACATTGCGCAAAAAACTCCCTATTAAAAGAGCAAGTGAGATCACAAGGAATATTCGATTTTGTGGAGATGGATATGAGGTTAGGGAACCATCAGCCCTCTCTTTTCAGTCTTCCGGTTTGAATTGGGAAGGAAATCTCGCGATTACAACAAGACAATTTCAATCACACCGAGACAAGGTTGTCAACCAGCATGATGGATGGGGAGACATATTCCATGGACAACATATGTTGAAGGTTGAATTATTTTTTGCACTAACTGAGTATATTGTTGCTAGAGTTTCTTTATGAGTCTTATCACTTACTGATATGATTTAGAACCACATCGGTAGTTTTCTTTTTGAGGCCAACGAATATTCTTTGGATGAATATATGTGCTGATTTTAGGACTAATATGTTATAGATTTTACTTTTACAGAGCATAAGCTGAAATATATGCCCTGAAATTACTCAAAGATACTAACATTATAACATATATGTTATATACGGTCCATGCAAGTCAAATGGGTGACTTTAACGGTCCTTAGTTCTGTTAAATTAATTCTGTTAACTAAAGGGGGTGATTGTCCTTCTTTCAGATTTTTTAAAGATTTTTGCACAAAAAATAAGTTTAAGGACATATGTGCCCTTAAATGACAATTCCAGAGGTTTTTTTGCCCCTTTTCCATAATAAATAATTTCTGTTAATAAATGGGTGAGTTTAACGGTCCTTAGTTCTGTTAAATGGGTGACTTTAAATGTCCTTAGTTCTGTTAAATTAATTCCGTTAACTAAAAGGGTTGATTGCCCTTCTTTCAGATTCTTTAAAGATTTTTGCACAAAAAAATAGTTTAAGGGTATATGTGCCCTGAAGTGACAACTCCTTGTTTTTTTTGTCCCTTTTCCCTAATAAATAATTTCAGTAAATAGTTTAAGGCCATCCCATTTCCGGAAATCTCGAAGCTGGACCGTCTGTACGCATGGACCTTCGCTGCTTGTGAGAATTGAAACTTGACAGTCTGATAGTGTCAGGCGGCATGTGAGTGACTGAGTGTACCAAAACCATCAGATCAGGAGAATTCTCGGGTCTTTAAGGTGCAGAAGTTTAGTCTAGCATTAACTAATCGATCAGGTTATCCGATCGGGAAGGAAGCTGCAAAACTGCGCAAGAAGATAGATGTGGTGAAAGGGTTTTCAAGTATAAGGATGCCAAGTTCGCCGCCGAGGATTTCAAGATTGACTATTCCAGTTTATCAGATTTCGTGGTCTGCCCTGTAGTATCCGGATAGTTTTTTTGGTCCCTCAGAATACTCGTTGATCTTTCATTTTCGATGGACTGGAGATTATAACTCCAACACCGCCTGGTGATTGAAGTAGCCTGTCACTGGAGGAGCTCTGCTTATCCGAATCCAATCTTTGGGGGTGGAGAATACTTGTCACTCAATAGTAAATCGTAATAAGGTTTGGGAACGAGTATAGCATGAGTGCGGTTCTGGCGACGTCGAGGTCGGAATTGGAGTTGGATCGACCCAATCTGGAAGACTATCTCCCCACTGGGTCTATCCATGAGCCTCTCGGCAAGCTTTGCCTGTATTTCTCTTCCCTTTTCACCGGTAGATACTGGCTGTTTATCGTTTTCCTAACTTTCTTCTTGATGAATTATCTTTCAGTCGAGATTTACTGGACATTTCGCCTACTTTGACTGAGGCCGCTGGTGCTATAGTTGATGTGACTACCCCTCTCTTCCTAGTTTTGGCTTTAAGTTTTACTTCGCCGTATCTGTTTTTTCGTGATTTTTATCACACGGTTCCTTATCCTTATTTTATATTTTCTCCTGACGTTTACCATTCTTCTATTTTTATCAGTTTTGTTGCTTCGCGGTTAGTGTTTGGATTCAATATGTACTCATCCTTCTGCAGGATTCTTTTACCAGATGCTTCAAGTCTAATCCTCCCGAACCTTGGAACTGGAATATCTATTTATTTCCTCTGTGGTGTTTGGGTGTTGTAGTCAGATATGGACTTCTTTTCCCAATAAGGTCAGCTTTTTTCTTTCCCCCATTTCAGATTCAGTCAATCTGTTTCTCTCTCGAGCACGCCATTCCTTAATAGTAAACGTCTTATGATGTGGGTAATATTACTGAGGTGGGTAATATTACTGAGGCTCTTCTTACATACTTTGTATGTCATTACTCAAATTTAAATGATACATGCTCAACTGAATAATGCCAAAAAATGATCTTTGTATGTCATGCATACCACTTGCCTAATCTTATATTGCCTAATGGCTATCATTTTCAAAGCAGGTTTATTAATCAATACGTATATATTTGAACTGTTTATCCATATATTGGTTTAACCATTTAATCTCTTAGCACTTGGGGGGTCTGAGTTTTGAATGCCATAATGTAAAATTATTTATCTCTGTATTTCAAGATTCCTGTAGTCTGATATGTTTTAGCTGTAATACAGGGCAATTGTTTTGACAATAGGATGGATAATATTCGTGTCGTGCTATATCCCTGTGCATTTTCTTCTCAAGGGCCATGATAGGCTACAGAAAAAATTGGAGGTATGCATGTGTGACTGCTGCACTTTTTTATCATTTTTGCTCAAGCGTGATCATTGTCTATAGCCGTAGTTACTTTTTTATAATCGTCTACTTCGTTTGCTAAACAACATAAAATATTTGGGAAATGTTTTTCTCAATAAATAATGGTGTTATGTCAATGGTCTTTATCTCAACTCTCTTGCCTTTGGTATTCATCTTATATCTTACCGACTTAATACCATATTGGTCTGTTTATTTGCTTTTCAGCGAGTTCTGGTAGAGTTGATATGCAGCTTCTTTGTAGCTTCATGGACTGGTGTTGTCAAATACCATGGTCCACGGCCTAGCATTCGTCCTAAACAGGTTAACCTTGCTTTATATGCCTCATGTAACTTTCCACTATGCAAATGCAAAACAAGAACCTGAGATTCCTAGAGTGTTTCCAAAACAGGTTTTCGTGGCAAATCACACATCTATGATTGATTTCATCATTTTAGAACAGATGACTGCCTTTGCTGTCATCATGCAGAAACATCCTGGATGGGTCGGTAAGACTTTACTTCCCTTCATTCTAAAAATGTGAAATATTCCCTCCAATGACCCCCTACTTCAGGCATTTTTACCTCAAAGGGCTGTCACTTGCTCTCTTTTACTTGCAGTCATTGACACATAATTATATAAAGGAATTTTATCAATCTGGGACTTGAAAGATAAACGAGTTATCAGTCCGGGACCTGAAAGATGAAATGTATCAGTATAGGGCTCGAAAGATGAAAAACTATCAATCTAGGACCTAACATTTCATAGGTTTTGATTTCTTAAATTTTTTATTAATTCCATTGCTAATATTTGGTGAGATTTTTTTCACAAAAGTTTATTAGTTTAATAAAACTAAATATTATTTAAATTTTTTAAAATAAAAATAATATTAAAATTAAAATTTATGAAAACTTAGGTCCTAAATTGGTAGTTTTCAATCATTCGGGTCCGAGATTGATAGTTTTCCATCATTCGAGTTTTATACCGATACATTTCATCTTCCAGGTCCTGAATTGATAGTTCGTCTATCTTTCAGGTCCCGGATTGATAAAATTCCTTTCTCGTGCCCTGACTCGTTTCTTGTCTTTAGATACTTTATCGTCTAACAAGCACTGTCACTTTACATGTATATGAATATGCATATGCATATATAAAGGTGAATGCGACTATGTAAATTTAGGGAACCTTATGACTTATTTTATGATCCGGGAAACCTCAAGGTATTGTGAAGAAGATGGAAACTGAAATGAAGGTGTGATTTTTTATGGATTGGGCATTCATGAGAATCCAAACTATTTCAATTTGGGTTTGTTAGAGGCCATAAAACTCCTTGAGATGAATCTCTCGCTTTTAGTATTATGTGGAATATATCCGAAGTCCAATATAATGCTAGTACAGTAGCACTACTACTTAAGTGAAGGACTAAACTAATGCATCACCTAACTCACTGGTAATAGTAGATTACTTCTCACACATCCTTCATGATTTCTTGACCTTCTTTGTGTGCTGATTTGCTGCCAGGATCACATATCGCATTGAGTCTATCACTATAATCATTGTTTGCATTCCCTTAAAGTTATTAACAAAAAAAAAGGAAAAACAAAGAAGGGGAATTATGAGTAATATGCCATCCTTAATGTTTATTTGTGTGGCTGTCACTGAGGATTTACAGTAAACAAGATGCCTTAATTTTTGCAGGATTTTTGCAGAGCACAATTCTAGAAGGTGTAGGATGTATTTGGTTTAATCGTTCAGAGGCTAAAGATCGTGAAATTGTTGCTAGGAAGTATGTGATAATATCTTGACCTTGAGTACCTTATTTCTTCAAAATGTGTATAGATATATATGTGGCATTTCTGTTGGTTTATTCATCTTATTATCATATCTATTTCAGGCTTAGGGAACACGTTGAAGGGGTTGATAATAATCCCCTTCTTATATTCCCAGAAGGAACTTGTGTGAATAATCACTACACTGTCATGTTCAAGAAGGCATTGCTCTTTTATGCTGACATTTATAATCTCTCAATTCTAGTGTAGCATTTGCTTATCTTATGATAGTTAATAGGGTGCATTTGAGCTAGGCTGCACAGTTTGCCCGGTCGCAATAAAGTACAACAAAATCTTTGTTGATGCCTTCTGGAATAGTAAAAAGTAAGCTCTTAATGGTGCTTGCCCAGTCTGTTCCTTCTTTTGCTTATGAATTCACTTTCAATTTTACGTGCTACTTCTGCTGTCCCACTTGAATAAGAAAATTTTGGCTTTTTGGGCAAATATTTATCATGTGCCAATGAACACACATTAGAAACCCGCTTGCTGAAAATGGGCTTTCTAATGTTTGCCCATGAGGCACGACATAAGAAACAACTAATGAGTTTTTAATGTATATACTACGTATTTTCTTAACTATCCTTTATAATGATGTTAAATGTATATTTTTAGTGATAAGATGTTGATTTTGATTTCATGTTATTCATATAATGAATCATCAATTTTTCTTCTGAAAATTGAAACTGAAGGACATTAGTTGCTTTTCATCATTTTCCCATTGGCACACATATAAAAACCTTTACTGGTATTTCTAACTTTCTTCGACTCTGAGAAAACTTATGCTTGCTTTTGATATTGTTCACAGGCAATCTTTCACTACACACCTGCTGCAATTGATGACCTCATGGACTGTTGTATGCGATGTTTGGTACTTGGAGCCTCAAAATCTAAGGCCCGGTGAGACGCCAATTGAGTTCGCAGAGAGGTGAACATTTTGTTACCAGCCTACTCCATTCTTTCCAGTAGCGATTGAAGTGTAGTGTATGGCGCCCTTGATTTTCTTATGGATGCGATCTCTTTTTTAGGGTGAGGGACGTCATATCTATTAGAGCAGGTGTTAAGAAGGTTCCTTGGGATGGATATTTAAAGTATTCTCGCCCCAACCCAAAGCACCGAGAGCGGAAGTAAGTCTTTTAATGCTTTATGCCTTTATGTGTTATGGGGTAGTGACTTCCATGTATTTTAATTTAAAATTAACTGTATACATTGTTTTAAAAACCTTCACAATAATCATTGGGGGAAGGAAAATTTATGACCATATAATACATGTCACAGAACAAATATACCTTCAATTTTCTTTTGAAACAATTAAACACAGAAATTCTAAAATTTTGGTTCAAATATACCTTTATGTCCGGTATTTGATAGGGTATATATGTTGTTTAATAAGTTCATGGGTATAATTATTTTAATGTTACAATTTCCGGTTTAATTGGTACAAAAAAGATGTGGTGTGCATATGTGTACTCACTTATAGTTCCAAGGTATATTAGATCCTTTTTACCTTGGTATTAGGTTGCCTTGGGCTGACTATTTCTATTTCTGTTCAGGCAGCCTAGCTGCTTAAGTCCAACTGTGCTTGTTATTTTGCTTGTAGTGTTTTGTTAAATGTGGGCTTAGATAGTGAGGAGGAATAGTGATGTCTTATGAAGTGCTAAGTTTATCTCATGAATGAGAGATACGTCACACTCGAATAGAATGAGCAATAAACTAAAGAGAAATAACAACAATAACTTCCAAGTCTTATTCCCAAAAGATTTTGGGGATGGCTAACGTGAATCAATCCATAATATCAGAGCCAAAAAGAGAAACTGAAGGGAAACAATCAGTATTTTATGAGTTCACTCTGTTCTTTGCAGGCAACAGAGTTTTGCAGATTCAATTCTCTGCCGCTTGGAAGAGAAGTAGATGTTTTCTGGCCTGTTGGGGGGAGTGTTGGAACAGATGAAATATTTATTCATGTTAAAATAATGAGGATAAATGGGGGATGCACAAATTCCATTGTTATTTTGGGAATAAATATCTTGCTTCGTTAACCATTGAGCAAATACATGATAAATAGTTAACATAAATATCTTGTGTTTTAGTTTTTTGGTCAGAATACACATTGTGCACTCTTATAAAGAAGTAAAAGATAACACCTTCAGCGCCAGCCACCAGGATTGATGGGTTTTTTACGTTGAAGTTCAAATGTTCTCGAGAATATTGTCATTCTGAGCTAGTTTGGCAACTTTATGTTTGTTATGGACTTATGGTATAATTTGAAATACATAGCCAATGGTACATAGTTTGAAATACACTCGCTGGCTCACCCAGGATTCAGGAACCACATTGGGAAGTTCACTATCTTTCTAAAATGCCTACCACTTCTTTCAGTTCTACTAATTGATAATATATTAACTGGCAACATAAATAGACAATAAAGATATCTGATTATATTCAGTTAGTTTTTATGCAAGTGACTTGCAACTTGCAAGCAATTTAACTGGCAACATAAATGCTTTAGAGTTGGGGTCAAGCAGGTGTTTAAATGCAAGTGACTTGCAAGCAATTTAACTGTCATTTGAATATTAGAAGACGTTCAGTAGTTTAAAAAGTTACAACTTATGGCATATGTTTTGCCATTTAAGATGAAAATAACTGTTTAGTTTCTTGTTATTACATCATAATTAGTGCTCTTTCAGGAACTATATTTTTTATTAGGCCTTGTCCTATAGGATCGGATTTTGTTAGTGTAAGCTGGTTCAATGTGCTCTAATTTGAATTGACTTTAGTTTCAAGTCTAGTCTAGTTTGTTTGGCTAGTATGATTGAATTAGCATGATACATTTTGGTTTGATCTCAGCTCAAATGACTTCAAGTCTTCAAGAAAACAGGCTATCAATCATATAGGTTTTCAAGAATTTATTTCACTGTGAATTTGTTAATAATGTGAAAATAGAAGAACTCTTAAAGTTGACTGATGAAAGACTTCACTTTCATATAATTGTCCGAAGTATCACATGTTTTATGAAACATTAACAAAAATTAACAAAAATATTATGAACGTAGTTATGATCCTTCACGTTGTTCATCTTGACTTTTATCAACATAGAAGACGGAGAAAGGGTTTTAAATTTGAAAAGTGAAAACCACTGGGAAAAAAAGTGCAAGGAAGTTTTGGAACATGCTTGGGATGGGGATGTCAATTCTTGTTTTTTTTTTTTACAATTCTGTCAAACAACGTGGGAGGCACAATTCTATGAAAGGCTTGAGGGACCAATCGGGTAGATGGGTTTCCGAGAGAGGGGAGTTGAATCAAATGATTGTACAATATTTCTCGAGGAGAGAATCATTCAAAGAATTGAGGAGTGGAATGCACGGCTCCTTCCTAAAGCGGGGCATGAAGTTCTTCTAAAGACGGTCATTCAAGCATTAACCCAATATGCGACGAATGGTTTTTTCTTCCCAAAGGAATTGTGCGGTGAAGCTATCTGGGAAGCTTGGAGAGAGACAAAGACAGTTGCTTTTGAGTGTGCAGCTCCGAAAAAGAAACAAAGATGGAAAGCGCCAGGGACGGGGTGTGTAGAGCTAAATGTAGATGCCGCGGTAGAGGTTTCCGTTTTAAATCGAGGATTCAGAATGGTAGTCCGAGATGAGAACGCCTCATGTGTTGCAGTTAGAAGCCAACCTTGGAGGAGAAGTTTTCTGGCACGGGATGCTGAAGCATTAGCCATTACGGAGGCGTTGCTATGGGCACGTCAACATGGATGGTTGAACATTGTTATCGAGTCCGATGCTAAACAAGTTGTTCATGATATCAGTTTCTACCACCACATCCGGTCGAACTGAAATAAAAATAAGCACCGCACCGTAAAGGGAAAAACAATACGAAAATAAAAAAATTCCCCAAATTACTTCCTCGTAGGGAGGTGTTTCCGAAAAAGGGCGAACTGTTGTAGGATGATAGAAGAGAATTTCAAACATTCCAACCTTAAATGATATATTTTATGTTGAATTGAAAAAATTCACTTTTATCTATTTAGTTTTGGTGAAATCCATACCAATAATCTGTACTTGTAGTGATTCTACAATAATAATCTCTACTCAAAAAGTCAATACAAATAAGTCAAACTCGTAAACACATCTACATAAATAGATTAAACTTTCCATTGTTAGATTATTGGACTTATACTACATGTAATATTCACAATATATTATTTATCGGGTTTAATTGTATGTTATATGCTATCTTATATTTAGGCCAAAAAATTAGTGGTCCTATGGATATTAATTTAAGTGGGCTAATAAGTTATCTAATAAGGTATATGGCCCAAATGTGTAGAGACCCATGGGCTTGACCTAATCAATGATGGGCTGATTAGGGTTAAGCACTCTCTATAAATAAGGGGTTATGGTCCCTAGTTATACACGTCATTCCGTCTTTCTGCATCTCATCGCTAGAGAGATAATCCCGAGGGTGTGTATCAACTAGAAGATGCAAACCCTAGCCTCCGTCTCCCGGATCTCTAAAGGTCATCTCCCATGGAGTCAGGTACGCTTCCGCTCAGTTAATTCTCTAGATAATTTCAATATGAAGAATAAAGTATTCATGGATTTATTCCAACAATTGGTATCAGAGCCTCCTTCATATTGAATTATTTGGAGTATTCATACTTTTATTTCAATCTTAAACGATTGAATTTCGGATATTTCTTTTGTCATATGATTTGCCGATTAAGTGGAATCATGGTAATGCAATTTTGCTTTTATGCAATTAGTTCTTAATGATTAATCAGCGGTCGATGATTAAATAGAAATCAAGCATGTTGATTTTCTCTGGTTGCTGCCGATTTTTTGGCAGCGGCATAATGAAGTTGATTTTGGTTTCTTTGCCTTAATTTTTAGTCTGATTTGCACAGTTACGGTTTGAGTTGTTTGCGTTTTCTTTTATTATCAAATTGTGATTCTATTGCCACTCACATGTTTGTGATTGAACAAAATATCGTTTGTTCCTTGTGTCATTGGGTTTTACGGAATAATCAAGTGGCAATTGAATTACTTTTGATTTATTTAAATTTTGGAAAGGATCTGCAATTCAGTTTAAATTGCTATGTGATGAAGTGGAATTTGAAATTCTTTGTTTCACTTTGTATACTGTCGAGCAATCTGTTATTTTTTTTTTTGGTTTAATCGGCACTATCCAATAAATTTTAATGGATCGCATTTAATTTGGAATCATTCGTATATGTGGAAATTTTTTAAAATTTGGGGATTCTCTTGTATGTGGTAAATATATGTGAATCGTGATTGTTTCCAATTTTTTTTTTGAGTCAAAAGTATGAGTATCAAATTAAATTTTGATATGTTACCTTTTTTTTGGGGTGATTCAATTTTGGTATTTTCTACGACTTTGGTAATTAAATACTTATATGTGATCACGGCCAATGTCAGTTCTATTAGAATTGCATATTTGGAAATAGATTACTTTTATTGATGATCATGACTTACGGCTTGAAAAATGTTTATTGTGTGTTATGGATGTATAAACCCTATTTTGTGATCACATAAAGATTGGGTACAGGTTTTACAAATTTCGTTATACATAACACATTTGCATGTGATTCAGAAAAATTTGCCCAATTTTATTTTTCAGATTTTCGAGTTAATATTAGCATGTCTAATATTTGAGTTAGTTAATTGATACAACATGCTGCCAAAGTAGCCTCTCTTGTTGAAATTAATTAACTCATATATTAAGATGATTGTGTACTTTCTTATTTCATGCGGATAATAATCGGCTCAAAGGAAGGTTATTATTTGGCCGAAATTTAAGTACATTTGTGATAATAAAATTTGTGATGATTATGAAGTTTTTCGTGTGAATATTAAGTCGGTCCAAAGAAAGGCTTTGTATTTGACATGATTTTATTATCAAAATTTTATTATTACGCCAAGAGAACCACTTGCAAGTCTAATTTATGTCCAAAGACAAGATTAGGTATTGCGTTAGGTATCTTGTGATGGGGATTGCTAATATTTAAATTTAAAATTAATTATCAAATTAATTCCAGTTCCTAGAGCATATCATTTATATTATTTTATTTTGTTCTCTTTCAGTCAACAATTCTGCTGCTACAATATCTGCTAATATTAATAGCATCCCAGTGCTTAACGGCACGAATTTTAAGGAATGGAAAGAGAACGTTATGATCGTTCTCGGTTGCATGGATCTAGACCTTGCACTTCAGACTGAGAAACCCGCCGCTCTTAAGCACACATCTACCCTTGATGAAAAGAGGGAGATGGAGAGGTGGGAACGCTCAAACCGCATGAGTCTAATGATCATGAAACGTGCAATTCCAGAATCATTCAGGGGCACAATGTCTGATGAGGCCGATGCCAAATCATTCCTTGCCGAACTTGAAAAGCGTTTTGCTAAAAACGAAAAGGCGGAAACTAGTACTCTTTTGAGCACTCTTGTTTCCATGAAGTATAAAGGCAAAGGGAACATAAGGGAGTACATTTTGGAAATGTCTCATATTGCTTCAAAACTAAGTGCACTAAAGCTTATTTTACCTGAGGAATTGCTTGTGTATTTAGTTTTGATCTCTCTTCCTTCTCAATTTAATCAATTTAAAGTCAGTTACAACTGCATTAAGGAGAAATGGTCTCTCAATGAGCTCATTTCTCATTGTGTTCAAGAGGAAGAGAGAATAAAGAAAGATAAGACAGAAAGAGCTCATTTGGCATCTACCTCTAAGGGCAGCAATAAAAGAAAAATTAAGGAAGCTGCAAATTCGGGGCCTCCCAGGAAGCATCACAAGGAAACTAAGGAAGAAACTAAGGAATCTGGATGCTTCTTTTGCAAAGGGACTAATCACAAGAAAAAGAACTGCACTAAGTACCATGCTTGGCGTGCGAAAAAGGGTATGTCTCTTGCTCTTGTTTGTTCTGAGGTTAATTTAATTTCGGTACCAAAAGACACTTGGTGGGTAGATTCCGGTGCTGCTACTCACATAAGTGTATCTATGCAGGGTTGCCTGAGCTGCCGAAAACCAATTGATGGTGAAAGATACATCTATGTCGGTGATGGCAAGCGGGTTGAAGTTGAGGCTATCGATGTTTTTAGATTATTATTAAAGACTGGTTTTTATTTGGATTTGAAAGAGACATTTGTTGTGCCGTCATTTAGGCGGAATTTAATTTCTATTTCTGCATTGAACAAATTTGGTTATTCTTGTTCATTTGGAAATAGTCAGTTCATTTTATTTCAAGATTCAAAACTTATTGGCACTGGTCTTTTATCAGTTTATGATAATCTATATTCACTTGATATAAATACCTCATATAATGAAACCTTGCATGTAAGTACTCGTGGTACTAAAAGAAAATTAACCAATGAGAATTCATTTTCACTTTGGCACAAGCGTCTAGGACATGTTTCTAAAGAAAGAATTCAGAGACTTGTGTCAGATGAAATTCTTGATTCTCTTGACTCCTCAAATTCTGATATTTGTGTTGAGTGCGTTAAGGGAAAACAAACGAACAAACGGAGATTAGGTGCCGAGAGAGCTTCAGATCTATTAGAATTGATATATACGGACATTTGTGGACCATTCCCTACACCATGTAGAAATGACCAAACATATTTTATCACATTCATAGATGATTACTCTCGTTATGGTTACCTTTATCTCATTCATGAAAAGTCCCAATCAATAGACGTGTTCAAATCTTATAAGGCCGAAGTTGAAAATCAATTAGGCAAAAGAATAAAAACCGTTAGATCTGACCGTGGTGGTGAATACTATGGTAGATATGATGGTTCCGGTGAACAACGTCCAGGGCCATTTGCTAAATTCCTAGAGGAGTGTGGAATTGTTCCTCAATACACCATGCCAGGAACTCCTAGCATGAATGGTGTTGCTGAGAGACGAAATCGTACATTGAAGGACATGGTTAGGAGTATGATTTGTCATACTACTTTACCCGATTCACTCTGGGGAGAGGCACTGAAAACTACAGCTTACATACTTAACAGAGTTCCCACTAAAGCTACAATTAAAACCCCTTATGAAATTTGGACTGGAAAGAAACCCAGTATAAATCATTTCCATGTTTGGGGTTGTCCAGCTGAGGCAAGGCCTTATAGGCCAAATGAAAAGAAACTGGACTCAAGAACAGTTAGTAGCTATTTTGTAGGATACTCTGAGAGGTCAAGGGGGTATAAATTTTATGATCCCACTACCAGGACTATTTTTGAGACGGGTAATGCTCGGTTCTTTGAGGATATTGAGTTTGGGGGGTGGGGAGATAAGGTTAGAGATTTTGTCTTTGAGGAAGAACATGTTACTCTTCCTTCAGTTGTCATTGAACATGATCAAGATATGTTTATTCCTAATGATGTTCAAGAAACAACTACAGTTCATGACAATCTCGAAAACATCCCCAATCAAGTACCTGAATTTGTTAATGAGGATCAAACTCAACAACCTCAAGAACCTGAGGTGCCATTAAGGAGATCCACTCGAGAGAGGAGAAGCGCAATTCCGGATGATTATATTGTATTTCTCCTAGAACATGAGGAAAATTGGGAATTGATGGAAGAAATATTTGTCTTCCTCCAAGAACAAGAGTCGGATGTTGGTTTTGCGGAAGATGATCCAATCAACTTCCGTCAAGCCATGGAAAGTTCCAACTCTCAAGAATGGATTAATGCCATGAAAGATGAGATGAAGTCTATGAGTGACAATGACGTTTGGGAGTTAGTCTCATTGCCTGAAGGTATTAAACCCATTGGTTGTAAATGGATATTTAAAATCAAGAGGGATTCAAAGGGCAATGTTACAAGGTTTAAAGCTCGTCTTGTTGCTAAAGGCTACACTCAAAAGAAAGGAATTGACTATAAAGAGACTTTCTCTCCGGTATTCTCGAAAGACTCTTTTAGAACAATAATGGCATTAGTGGCACATTTTGATCTTGAGCTTCATCAGATGGATGTAAAAACTGCGTTTCTCAATGGTGACATTGAGGAATCAATCTATATGGAGCAACCAGAAAACTTTGTTTCGGGAGATTCAAAGAAAATGGTTTGCAAATTAAAGAAATCCATCTATGGGCTCAAACAGACTTCTCGTCAGTGGTATCACAAGTTTCATAAAGTCATTA